GGTACTTGGTGATCATTTATCAGCAACCCTAAAAGAACTCTGTAACGTTGTCCAAGTGGAGAGACAGGTGGGCACGGATGAGGAGAGGCTCTCCTGACTGGAAGAACTGTGTTCTAAACATTTCTGATCCTGAATTGCAGCCTATACTAATAAACCCCGTAACTGTGAGCACGATGTCTACATTCCATGTGGTCAGTGCAACAAATTATTGAACCCAGCTGAGAAGTAGAGTGGCAAGAATGGTAGGTTACATTTTTTTTTTTTTTTGCAAAAAGCACGTACCATTTGAAAATCAATGTGGAAAAGAAAATGAGGTGGTGGTCTGAGAAGCCAAGCAGTGCCTACCAGGCACCTACAACCCATTAATAAATAACTGAGAGATATTTACAAATAAAATTTAAATGTTTTCATTCAATATATATGTATTATATATTTTCACACAGCTAAACTGTGCTCATTAGGAATCTGTACCTGGACCAAGAAGCAGTTGTTCGAACAGAACATGGGAACAATGAATGGTTTAATGTGCAACAAAGTTGTATTCTTTCATCATACTTATTCAACTCGTATGCTGAGCAAATCATCCGAGAAGCTGGGTTCCATGAAGACAAACATGGCATTAGGATTGGAGGAAGACTTATTAACAACCTGCGATATGCAGATGGTACAACCTTACTTACTGAAAGTGAAGAGAACTTAAAACATTTACTGATGAAGATCAAAGAGCACAGCCTTCGGTATGGATTACATCTCAATGTAAAGAAAATAAAAATCCTCACTACTGGACCAATAAACAACATTCTTATCACTGGAGAAAAGACTGAAGTTGTCAAGGACTTCATTCTTCTTGGATCAACTATCAGCACTCACGGAAGCAGCAGTCAGGAAATCAAACAACGTATTGCATTAGGCAAATCTGCTGCACACGACCTTTTAAAAGTGTTGAAGAGCAAAGATGTCAGCTTGAACCTGAGGTGCGCCTGACCCAAGCCATGGTATTTTTAATAACCTCATATGCACACGAAAGCTGGACAGTGAATAAGGAAGGCCACAGAAAATTTGATACTTCTGAGTTACAATGTTGGAGGAGAATATTGAAAGTACCATGGGCTGCCAAAAGAACTAATATATCCATTTTGAAAGAAGTACAACCAGAGTGGTCCTTGGAGGCCAGGATGGCCAAACTTTGTCTCTCATACTTCGGACATATTGTCAGGAGGGACCAGTTGCTGGAGAAGGATATCATGTTTGGTAAGGTGGAGAGTTAGAGAAAAGGAAGAAGACCTCCAGCAAGATGGAATGGCCAAGTGGCAGCATCGATGGACTCAAGCGTGCCAACAGTAGTGAGGTTGGCCCAGGATTGGGCAGTGTTTCGTTTTGCTGTGCATAAGGTCGCTTATGCTGTGCATAAGGTCGGTATCAACTCAATGGCACCTAACAACAACAACAACTAGGTTGTTAGAGGTGCTCTGGTAGCGTAGTGGTTACAAATTGGGCTGCAAACTGCAAGGTCAGCAATTCGAAATGACCAGCTGTTCCATGGGAGAAAGATGAGGCTTTCTGCTCCTGTAAAGATTTACAGCCATGGAAACCCCATATAGGGTCGCTAAGAGTCGGAACCGACTCCACGGCACATAACAACAACAAAAACAACAAAGATTTATAGCCTCGGAAACCCTGTACAACATTGCTATGAGTTGGAACTGACTCCACGGCACATAACAACACCAGGTTGTTAGAGCATAAAAACGTAAGTTGTTTGGATCTAAGTCTTTAATAAACAGAGTGTTAGGTACTTCTAGAGGCACTGAGAAGTAATTACGAAGCCCCTGTGAGTTCTGTGCACTGATTGGTCATGGTGATGGCAGGTGGAAAAGTGGAAAACCACAGGGCTGAACTCAGGAGATCTGCCATCAACTTTTTTATAAGTAAAAGCCCTTCAAATTTACTTATAAAAGCAAATCAAGCACATGATGGGACACATGCACACAGGGCCTCCCAAATCCCATGCTCAGAAAGTCTGTTTTTTTGTTGTTGTTGTTGGGTGCTGCAGAACTGATTCTCACTCATAGCGACCCATGTGACAGAGTAAATCTGCTTCCTAGAGTTTTTCTAGGTTGTAATCTTTACCAAACCAAAGTGTCAGATCTTTCTCCTGTAGAACTGCTGCGTGGATTCAAACAGCCAACCTTCCAGTTAGCAGCAGAGTGCATAACCACTATGCTACGAGGACTCCTTTACTGAAGTCTGTTTAGGCCTAAATAAAAGGATGTGGCTCTACCCTCACCATGTGGACACTCCTGCCCAAACTGAGAGGCACCAAGGACTTGAGGGATCCATAGCTTCCCCAGTACCATGCAAGCCCTGCCTTTGCTGGTGCTCTAACGGCTGATCATGCCACCAAAAAATCAGAGTCAAATTATGGAAAATGCCCCTTCAGAATCCACAAAGGTAACAGTAAATATCATCATCCAAGTGGCCCATTCCATTTCCTTTTGGAATCTTTTAGAATATCAAATAGATATGCCTTGTTTATAAGCTTGTGCTATCCTTGATAAGGTGCTAATGTTAAATGTCACTGAGTCAGGTTCCAATTCATAGCAGCGCCATTTAAGGTTTCCCAGGAGCTGCCAGTTTCAATTTACTGTGACCCTCTACAGGGTTGCTGAGGAGTGACTAGCAGGTTTGAACTGCCGTGCTTATCGTACAGCACCACACCAGAACCCCTCATCAGTTGTTGTTATTGTGATGTGCCTTCAAGTCATTTCTGACCCACAGCGACTCTGTATAAGGTTTCCCAGGAGTGGCTGGTGAGCTTGAACCGCCAACCTTGCGATTCAAACTGACGTTGCAGTCCAATGCATTAACCTACAGTTGTATTGACTATTAAATACTTGATTAATTAAATATGTTAAATACACTGAAGAAACCATTTGGGAATCCTTTGAGAAAGTGAAGAATCTTTGCAATTAGAAAAACACATTTCATAACTTTAAAATAATGGCTGCTTAAAAAAGTACCCTTATGCATATGTAAGATTTCCTCATCAATGACTATTTTAACCATTTCAAGTGCGTTTTCAGCATGGTCTAAGACACCAGGTGCCTACTCTTCTCCAAGGACGAGTTCATTCTTGGGTTTGACAGCCTTCTACTATTCTAGCTCGCATGCATAAATCTAAATTCTGTGCAAAGAAATCATGGAGTTTCTTGCTATGGTGAGAAAAATATTAACAATAAGGTATAAGAAATTCCCTTTTCTCATTTAATTTCATGAACTGATCTAAAAAGACTCAATTCACTCACTTATCTAATCTCATATTCTTACTTCCTAGATTACCAACAATTAAAGCTCAAAGTGGCATTTTATTTCAGGAAGCAATCAGTAAACACAATGTAAACACAATGCTGGAATAGTCACAAAAACTGATCCAATCCAAGAACTGGTCCCCAGATCTCCCCCCAAAAAACAAGAAACAAAGTCATTCATGAATCTTAAATTTGTGTACAGGCACAGATATTAACAAAACAAGAATATGTATAGATCTTAACAGAAAAGATGGGATTATTGTGCCATCAAGTCATTTCTGATTTATAGCAACCCTGTACAGGGTGAGTTTCAGAGGCTGCAAATCATTTCAGGCACAGAAAGTCTCATCTCTCTTCCACAGAGCAGCAGGTGGGCTCAAACCACTGACCTTGTGGTTCGCAGTCCAGAGTTTATCCTACTGAGCTACTGCTTATTATGGGATTGGGAACGTTGAAATTTATTCTAAAATGATTTCTAAATCACTTTGTCCACTAAAATAGTGTCATAATGGAAGTAGCCAAGCATGATAACTATTTAGACCACTCATACAAACAAGCAAACACAAACACCTCAAATCCATTGCTATCAAGTCAATTCTAACTCAGAGCGCGCCCTTGTGTTACAGATTACAAGTGTGCGCCATAGAGCTTTCTTGGCTGTACTCTTTCAGGAGCGTATCACCAGGCCTTTCTTTCATGGAGCCGTGGGGTGGGTTTTAACAACCAACCTTTAGGTTAGTGGTTGAGGCCATATTATTTTTGCCATTCAGGTACTCCAAAAACTCCCAAAGACCTCTGGAAACTGAATCTTTGCAGAACAGATGTCTGTCTGGTAGACTCTACTAACCACTTTCTGTGGTTCTCAAAATCCAAGTTTCTATTTTTTCTTAGAGTAGTACAAGAAAATCTCTTTATGATTCTAGGGAACACTAGTATGCCAGGCTAAGCAAGCTAGATCAGACTTACTTTTGGTGGTTAAGTGTGTGTGATCAACCTGATGATTTTCCATCCCTGGAGGGATGGAAAAGGTCTGCTGGATAATTCAGTTAACTCATTTGAGGGAAGCTGTAACAGAACATTTATTCACTAGCATACATTTTCTTCAAAGGATCTTATTTCTTGGTGTGGCATAAGTCCCCCATGACCTCTGAACCTGCAGTGTGGAAATGTGTCAGTGTCATTCCTCTTCTGGTTACACACCTGTTCTCCAAATGCCCCATTCCCACTCCCTAATCTCAGGCCTAGAACTCCCAGACACCATCAGGCATAGCTGTTGTTTACTCACAGTTGATGCTCTCAACTGAATTTGTTGGCTCTCTTGATTGTTCATAAACTAACAGTATTTACTAACCACCTACATGATACATGCTATTTTGCTTATATTAACTACTTTGGAATTCATCAGTTGAAAGGAAGTGTCCCAACAAATTAGGATTTTCACTAGTAACAAGTAGTAGCACCCTTTTTAACCATTAAAATCTGTGGTGTATTTTCACTAGTAACAAGTAGTAGCACCCTTTTTAACCATTAAAATAAGAGGCTGTGGTGTATTTTTTTTCTTGAGGGTGACCCTGAGGGTCAGGTAAACCACTTCCTATGTAGAAAGATGAAAGTCTTAAAGGGAAGGTGGGTGAAGGTGACGGCATAGGTGTTCTTTCACCCTGATTGTGTGCAGCTTTACACAAAACTTACTTGCCAATATTTTCAGGCAGGGACTGCAGCGAGATGTCGTTTACAGAAAGACATGTTAAATTCTGTAATTCAGGAAAGCTCTCTGGCAATCTAAAACAGAAAATGTCATTTATTAAAACAAGTGATGCATGGTTTACATTAAGCATAAATATAATGATTTCTTCTGCATGTTAATTGAAGTAACTTCTTAAAATTACACTATATAAGGCAGATTTGCTTGTTGACATATATATATATATGGAGTCCTGGGATATGGCGCTGCAAGTTAATGCACTGGATTGCAAAGTCGGTTTGAACTGCAAAGTTGGTGGCTCACGCTTACCAACTGCTCCTTGGAAGCTCTATACAGAGTTGCTATGAGTCGGAACTGACGTGATGGCACTTAACAACATTTTATATATGTGTGTGTGTGTGTGTATATATATATATATATTTTTTTTTTACTATTTACTATATATATAGTATTCACTATTTACTATATATATAGTAAATATATATATATAGTAAATATATATATGTATACACACACAAATATGTATGTATTTATATATGGAGCTATGGCAGTGTAGTGGCTATGAATCAGGTTGCTAACCAAAGGTCAGCAGTTCGAAACTACCAGCCGTTCCATGGGAGAAAGATGAGGCTTTCTGCTCCCGTCAAGGTTTACAGCCTCGGAAACCCTATCCAGGGTGGCTATAAGTCAAAACCAACTCCATGGCACATCACCACAACCATATATACATACATATACATATATATGGAGTCCTGGTGTGGCACTGTGGGTTAATGAGCTGGACTGCAAAGTCGGTTTGAACCACATGGTCGGTGCAAGTGCACCAGCAGCTCCTCGAAAAAAACCTTATATAGGGTCACTATGAGTTAGAACCAACTCCATGGCACTTAACAACGTATATATATATGGAGAGAGAGAGACAGACAGAGAGTGCTGTGGCTATGTAGGATAAGTACTGGACTGCGAACAACAAGGTCAGCAGTTCAAGCCCACCAGCCACTATGCCAGAGAAAGATGAGGCTTTCTGCTTCCATGAAGATTTACAAGCCTCTGAAACTCTATATAGGGTAGCTATGAGTTGGAAATGACTCCATGGTACTTAACAATGACAAACATGTATCTATATTTACCTATCTTCTATATCTACCTCTTTATATATATGTGGGAGCCCTGGTGTGGCACTGTGGGTTAATGAGCTGGACTGCAAAGTCGGTTTGAACCGCAAGGTTGGCGGGTCAAGCTCACCAGCAGCTCCTCAGAAGCCCTATACAAGGTCGCTATGGGTTGGAACCAACTCGAGGACACTTAACAACATATATATGTTTGTTTTTCTTATACACATACACACATATATGTATACACACAAAATGCTTATAAGAAAAAACAAGAACTGGGCCTACGTATGTAGTCATAAAGGGATAAAATAAATACTTGTTGATGGGTTGAGGAGAAAAGGCATGCAAACTTTAAGAATAAAGGTGGGGGGATGGAATGTTGAATTAACTAAGAGATCTAGAAAGAAGGTGATAAATCGTTATAGTAGTTAAAATGTTGATAAATTAAAATACATTATTGAGTAGCAGAAAATAAAAAGAAAATTCAGTCAGTGCAGCAAGATTATAATGAAACACAAGGTAACTAACTTCTCAATAAAATTTCTTCTTGTAGCTTTTAACACACATAGCAGAGCTATGGATTACTCAAAGTTTGTCAGTTGACAGTCAATTACTACTTTCTCTGTTTTATTTTTTTCTTTGAATTTCATTAAAGATGCCAATCATTTGAGACAATTACATAATTCAGTATGTTCTACACAAAAGGAAACTTTTTATACTTTCTTTAAACTCTATTGCCGAGCAAGATTTCAAAATAACACTACTCCATTATTTATCACTTACAAGGAATGCTTAGATACAATATTCCTTTGGTTAATAGTATTTAGGAAGGAAATAATCTAACAGAAGTAAAACAGATTTCATTGCATATAAAATGTTGACAGCTCTCATATGTAAATATAGGTATAGAACATATAACTGTCTCTTTTTTCATCCCTAGTGGTTTCTGGTAGCGTAGTGGTTACGAATCGGGCTGCGAACCTTAAGGCCAGCGGTTCGAAACTACCAGCCGCTCCGTGGGAGAAAGATGAGGCTTTCTACTCCCGTAAAGATTTACACCCTCGGAAACCCTGTACAGGGTCGCTATGGGTCGGAACCGACTCGATGGCACTTCAAAACAAAACAAAAAAAAAAGTGGTTTCAGTATCAGCCTCCAGATTAGAATCTTTCCTTTCTTTTCTCTTTCTAGGTTTCTTCTTTTGTAAATAAATCCCATGTTCCTTACTATCTGCCATGGAAGATAAGCACTGGAATGCAAGATCAGTTTGAACAGCAAGGTCGGTGGTTCATATCCACCAACCGCTCCTCAGAAAACCTATACCAGGTCTCTGAGTTGAAGCCGAGCTGATGGCACTTAACAGCAACAAATATAGGTAATTCCAAAGTTCAAAACCAAATCCAAGCCTCTGTGATGAGAGCATTAACTGGAATTTTCACAATCATTAAAATACATTCTAAGTAAAGTTTTTACAAAGTTTAAATTTCTTCTACAGCACAGTAGAGGTAAAATTTTTACCTATAACTTAAAAGATATAACTTACCTGTTTCACCTAGTACTTACGCCCCCCACATCAGAATATATATATCATTTTATAATTTTAAAACTAGTTAAAATATTTTTATATGTTAAGAAAATGTATTTTTTAATGGCTGGCATGTTTTTTTTATTCTCTGTTAATATTAAGAGCCAAACTAGTAGGATGTGATGGGAAAACACAGACCTAAGGTAAGGAGAAATGAATTCTAATCCAAACTTACTGCTCAGTGGTCTCAAGACCTCAAAAGATCATTTAGCTTTGATGAACTTTAGTTTCTCCAACCATACAATAAGTAGGCCACACTGGATGAGTTCTAAAGCTCCTTCAACTCAATGATACTATGTTTTAATCTGCACCTGCCAAAATAAACTGGCTTTACTTTTACTTGCCTGCCAAAATCAATGAGGCCGGGTTAAAAAGAAAAATAACCAAAGGAAAAAAAAAAAAAAAAAAAGGAGTGGAAAGCCTCGTACAATGTGGGTGTGTTCTAGTCAAAAGGGTTCTAATATAACAGTAAATCCCAATGTCAGCCAACATTAGAAAAGGAAAGTAAAGAAACAGAAAAGGATGTTAAACAATTAATAATTTAACAGGGAGGGATGTGTGCAGGGGGGGGGGGGGGGGCTCATGATGAGTATTTCCCAGTTTGTCTAACTCTGTAAACTGTCTTAAAAATGATTCATGTTGTCAATTCAGTTCATAAAGCATTTACTGAGTACTTACTATATTCCAGGAATTAATAGTACAATTGGAAGTACAAAAATGAGAAATAAAAGGATGAAGGGTCTTTCTCAGTCTAGCTGGGAAGTTTAGTTAAAGTGATCATGTAAGTGTAAATTTCAAGTGTTATGGCCCAAGTAGGATAAGCACTGGACTACAGTGGAAGATCGGTGGTTCAGACTCACCAGCCACTTCTCGGAAACCCTATATATAAGGTTGCTATGAGTTGGAACTGACTCTAAGGCGCTTAACAACAACAGCACGGTCAAAGTACAAGCAGAGCATTATGGGAGCCTAGAGGAAGGGCCACAGGTGGGGGTGGTTATCAGGAAAGACTTCCTAAAGGAAGGTATGTTAAGTGACATTTTAGAGAAGGAGTGAGAGGGCTGGCATGATAAAGAAGTTGTTGTTGTTGTTGTTAAGTGCCTTTAAGTCGGTTCTGACCCATAGCGACCCTGTACAGGGTTTCTGAGGCTGTAAATCTTTACAGGAGCAGAAAGCCTCATCTTTCTCCCGCGGAACAGCTGGTAGTTTCGAACTGCTGACCGTGAGGTTCCCAGTCCGATTCGTAACCACTACACTACCAGAGCTCCTTATGGTGAAGAAGGGAGGGGTAAGACTAGCTAAGCACATTCTATTACTGCAGCATGTTATCCCTGACACATCTGATAACCTAGGACAAAGGGGTGGAGAGCAAGGTCAAATCAGGGAGAAAGTGGCATGGAATGTGGCGAGAGAGCTATGGAAAAGTTTTTAAGAAAGCAACAACTGTATGGAAGGTAGTTAAGAAAGGGGTCAAGACTTGAGAACAGTGACATATTAGAAAGCTATTTAAATTGTAGGTTAGCACTTACTAGATTACCATTTGTTAGTAATGTATGCTATTAGTAACCTAATCATTAAGATTCAAAGGGGGAAAAGCAGAAGTACTTATAAAACATATTTACTTCTTAAAAATAAGCAGATATGGGAAAAGAAAACTGGGCATTCCCCAGCACTATACACCCAAGCGGAGTCCTGGTGCAGCACTGTGGGGTAATGCACTGGATTGCTCCTTGGAAGCCCTCTATAAGGCTGCTAAGAGTTGGAACTGACTCGATGGTACTTAACAACAACAACAACAGCATACACCCAAGCAGACCCAAGTAATTTTGAACTGGTTGAGATGAATTTTAAATTTCTCTTAATTTGCTTAGGTTCCCCATTATCCCTGTGGGGGGTGGGGGGCAAAGCTGGTAAGAAAAGCGAAGGGAAAGAGGGAAAGGGAGAAAAAATTAAAATATAAATTCCTTTAGGATTACTTATAGAGTCTTGAGATGACCTTGAGAGAACCCACAGAGACTCTTGAACAAGACTCTCAATAGCTATCTTTACATTGCTGTGTGGGTACCAATTCAGTTATCCTGATAACACAGGTGCCTGAAGCCAGTGGTCAGTGGGGTCATAACGAGGCCAGGAGCCACAGAGGGGCTCAGGGCAGTACCACTCAGTCATGCTTGGCTCATGAAGGAAGAGCAGAGCTGAAATCATAGTAAAAAGGGGTGACCAAACTAAAAAAAAAAAAAGCAAACCCAGTGTCCTCACATCCATTCTGACTCATAGTGACATTATAGGACAGTCTATAGGGTTTCCAAGGTTATAAAGCTTTACAGATGCAGACTGCCGCATCTTTCTCTCTCAGAGCTGCTGGTGGGTTCAAACCACCAACCTTTTGATGAGCTGTCAGGTACTTTAACCACAGTGCCATCAGGGCTTCTTAAAACAGTGACAGGTAAGTAGGTGGCTTTAGTTGGAAAGATAAACCCAAAAAAGATCTCCAATGCTACTGCTAACATAAAGAAATGATGTCAAGAGTTTTAAAACTAGTGAGAGCTAGAGGACGGTTGGAATGGTAAATAAGTGTTTCATCACTGGAGTGGAAAATAGCAGGGCTTCTCCATGAATAACTGTGATGCGTGCTCTCTAGGTATTTAGTGTTCAGTCTTATCTCTTGCAGATCACACAAGACAGGATTGATCAATGAGGGAATTATAAAACGAATTCTTCATATTGCTTCAGAGATGCTTCATATTGTATCCTCCACTGTGTCTCACTTTGATATTTCTATCAATAGCACTTGTTGTCTTTTGTTGCTAACATCTGGTATAGTGCTATTTATAATGATCTGTGAATGTTAACAAGCCTTGTTGAAGACAAAACGTCCAAATGACGCACCTAAATACTTCCAAGATGGAAAATCTGGTTGTGTTCTTGGCGTGGCTCTCAAAAAAGATACTGTTAAGACCATAGAACAGAAAAGTAAGCAGAAAAGCTACCTGGTCAGTGGGTTTCCGCTGAAGTCAGCTATCTGGAGTGCTTTACAGAATGAGATGCTTTCTGGAATTTCAGGAATATCTGTAGGAGTAAAGAAAATGTCTGTAATCTACCAGCATTGTCAACAGTTTTCATCAACCTCAAGAGGGAACATACATAAATAAAATATTTGGAAATTATTGCAAAAGTCTCCTTTAAAGTGTCAAAGAACAAAGAGGTCACTTTGAGGACTAAGATGCATCTGACATAAGCCATTTATTTTCAATCACATCATGTGCTTGTGAAACTTGGACAATGACCAAGACAGACCACAGAAGATGCATTTGAATGATGGTGTTGGTGAAGAAAATTACAAGTACTGTGGACTGCCAAAAGAACCAACAAATCTGTGTTGGCAGAAGTACAGCCAGAATACTCTCTCTCCTATACCTGTTTAACCTGTGTGCCTAGCCATGTATGCACTCATGTTGCTGTTAAGTGTCATCAAGTCCTTCTGGCTCATAGTGACACTTTCTAGGGTTCCCAAAGAGTGGCTGGCAGATCTGAAGTGCCAACTTTTCAGTTCAAACTGATCTTGCAGTCCAGTACGCCAGGACTCTGTGTACTCACAGATCACCGCCATGGCAGGATTATGCATTGGCTTTCATCTTTATGGGAGCAGATTACCAGATCTTTCTCACATAGAGCTACTGCGTGGGTTTGCTTGACCAACTTTTCAGTGCTTAACCATTGCAGCACCTGACGTGCCGCCATAGAGTTGGTTCTGACTCAAGAGCTCCACAGGGTTTCTCAGGCTGTAAATCTTTATGGAAGTAGATTGACTAACCTTTCTCTCAATGAGTGACTGGTGGGTTCAAACTGCTGACCTTTCAGTGAGCAGACCAAAGCTTAACCCACTGCACTACCAGAGCTCTACTGCTGTTCTTGTTGTGTGCCAGTGAGTAGGTTCTGAGTCACAGCGACCCTGTATAGTGTGTGGTTTTTGTTGTTAAGTGTCGTCGAATCTGTTCCAACTCATAATGACCTGCTCTAGGGTTTCCAAGGCTTTTAAAAGTCTTTGTAAAAGGAGAAAGCCTCACCTTTCTCCCAGAGAGCAGCTGGTGGGCTTGAACCACAGACTTTGTGGCTCACAGTCATGCACCTCTGTGCTGGAGTGTTTTAACTGCTGACCTTGCAGTTTTACCTGTTCAGTGCTTATCCTACAGAGTCATACCAGAGCGCTATGGTGGTGATAGTTGTAGGCCGAGTGGGTTCCGTAAATCTTTATCCGAGCAGAAAGCTTCACATTTCTCCCATGGAGCAGCTGCTGGATTCAAACTGCTGACCTTGTGGTTAGTGGACCAACTCATAACCCACTATGCTTCCAGGGCTCCTTAAAGTTTCATGGTGGTGGCAGTAGTTGTGTGCCACCAAGTTGGTTCTGACTCAGAAACCCTGTATAGGGTTTCTGAGGCTGTAAATCTCTACTGCAGCAGAAAGCCTCATCTTTCTCCCATGGAGCAATTGATAGACTCAAACTGCTGAGCTGGTGGTTAGCAACCCAGCTCATAAGCTACCATAGAATATATGAAATATGATATGATATCCTATCAGGGCTCCTTAAGAACTCTGCTATTGTTGTTAAGCGCTGCCAAGTTTCCAAGGAGGAGCTGGTAGGTTTGAACCACTGTCTATGTGGTTTGTAGTCTAGTGCTTATCCTAGAGTGCTCCATGTTGTTGTGTTGTTGTTAAGTGCCGTCGAGTCGGTTTCGACTCATAGCGACCCTGCACAGGGTTTCCGAGGCTGTAAATCTTTACGGGAGCAGATCGCCTCATCTTTCTCCCGCGGAGCAGCTGGTAGTTTCGAACTGCTGACCTTCCAGTTCGCAGCCCGATTCGTAACCACTACGCTACCAGAGCTCCATAGAGTGCTCCATAGTACTTGATAAATGTTAAAAAGTTTTATAACCTTCAGCCACAATGAGGTACTCACTCAAAATACCACCCCCTCCTTTTTTTCTTCTACATTGAAAAATGCCAATTTATTGATAAAATAGTCTGGAAAGTGATTTTGGTTTTGCTTTGTTCTGGTTTTAACTTACTTTATTTTTATAAGCAATGAATGAAGTTGAATATTTTTCCTATGTTTACTGGCTACCAAATCTTGTGATTTTATGATGACTGAAATTATTATTTTAAATTTCTTTCTCTCAATACAAACCCTGAGGTTATAGATTTACAGGCTTTAAAAGGTTAGTTCATAACATTTCAAGAACAAATTTATTTTGGACATGTTAACACCGAAAAAAGCTAAAATAGAAAAGGTTTTCCTGGTCCCATGCTGTTTCTTCCACCAATGTGACAAGTTGCAAGCTGAGCCCAAACTTGCCTAATATTTTTAAATTGGGGGCGGTGGTCAGAAGGGAGCGATAAAAGGAAAAATAGATGCCTTGATCCAACAACCTCAAAGTAATCAGATACTACATGAAAGCTTTCAGCTAAGTGTTGAAAACATTTGAATTTGTTTTAATACTTTTCTTACATTATTTTCTGTTTTGCACAATCATATAAGGTTGAAAAGAATCGGCACTACAATCCTAGTAGTGCATATACAGCTTAAGTATAAAATATTTTTATGTATTTTTATGTATAGTATTTCTGATATTTGATCATATAAGTTCTCCTGCTTGTTAACCAATTTTACTTAAGTTAAACCACTTTCTTGTTAAGTACCAGTTCTGACTCATAGTGACCCTATATAGGGTTTTCCCAGGAGTGGCTGGTGGGTTTGAACCACTGACCTTGTGGTCAGCAGTCCAGTGGTTATCCTACAGCACCACACTAAAACTCCTTTCTTAGTTGGTGTTAATTGTATGATGACATTAGCTTTTAGTTTCACACATACAATATTTGTATATATAAACATATTTTGTCTACAGTAATATAAATAATATTTAGTAGAATTTTGTATATGTATAAAGTGCTAAAGAGCAAGATACCATTTTAAGGACTAGGGTGCCCCTAACCCAAGCCATAGCATTTTCAATTGCCTCATATGCATGCAAAAGTTGGACAATAAGGAAGACTGTAGAAGAACTGATGCATCTGAGTTATGGTGTTAGAGAAGAATATTAAAAATATCATAGACTCACAGAAGAACAAACAAATCTGTGTTGGAAGTAGTACAATCAGGATACTCCTTAGAAATAAAGATGAGGAAACGTCAACTCTCGTACTCTGGACATATTATCAGGAGGGACCAGTAGCTGGAGAAGGACATCATGTTTAATAAAATAATTGTGGTTGCCGTTAAGTGCCGTGCAGTTGAGTCAGTTCCAACTCACAGCAACACTGTATAGAGTTTCAGAGTCTGCAAATCTTTATGGGAGCAGAAAGCCTCATCTTTCACCTGCAGAGTTGCTTGCAGACATGAATTGTGATTAGCAATTCAGTACTTATCCTACAGAATAAAGATTGTTGTTGTTAAGTGACGTCGAGTCGGTTCCGACTCACAGCGACCCCATATAGGGTTTCCAAAGAGCAGCTGGTGAGTTTGAACCACCGACCTTGCGGTTCAAATTGTCCTTGTGGTCTACTGCTTTATCCCACAGCACCACACCAGGTGGTACTCAGATGCTAACTGAAAGGATGGAGGTTTGAATCTGCCCAGAGGTGCCTCGGAAGAAAAACCTGATGATCTACAGGTTGAAAACTTTGTGGTGAACAGGTCTACTCTAACATACATGGTGTCACCATGAATCAGAGTTAACTTGAAGGTAACTGGTATGCGAGCACACATAGATATATTGTATTTCTGCATATAACTTGCCCACATAAATAGCATCCACATTCATGAAACACACACAATGTGCACAGGAAACTAATGCACCCCGGGACTGAGCACTTTGCAAAAACATATAATGCACACATTTGGCATTTCTTTTAATTCTATCTAAGTCATCTCTGTTTTCCTCTTGGATTCAAGGCATATCTGAAGTTAACAACACTGGGTTCTTGCCACAGAGAATAACATGAAGTGCAAAGGAAAACCAAACTTAAATCTTACTGACTTCTGTGGCTATTCTCTAAGGTGATTTCATTCAAGTTGATGATATAAGGAAATAAAAAGTTTAGGAATATAAAGTCAGTTAAAGAACACAGCCACCCCTATCTATTAACTGTCTTTTTATAAAAGTGCTAAGGAAAATATTTCAAACCTCAGGGCATACTGGACATGTCCTATGGTGAGTTAGTAAGCTGAGATTGTATTATTAAAAATAGGGTAAAAACTATGTTGTTATTGTTGTTATGTGCCGTCAAGTGGGTTCTGACCCATAGCGACCCTGTATAGGGTTTCCAAGGAGCAGCTGGTGAGCTTGAACCACCAACCTTGCAGTTTAAATGGCTTTGCAGTCTGGTGCATTAACCCACAGCGCCACACCTAGGTAATCTTAAATCCTTACAGCATCAGCATTGCCATTCCCACCCTAAGGTGACTGTGTTGGCTTAATTAGGATAAGGTGCTAACAAGGTCAGGGTCCCCCAACTCCAGCCTCACTGCATTCAGATGTGCCTCCCCCTACTCCGCCCCCTTTAAAACTTGTGAAGAGCACACAACAGCATCAGCAGGTGTCCCTCATTGAGTGCTAACCCATGACTGGAGACATTCTGCACAAATGAATTCATTTAAATCTTCACAATGATTCTAAGGAAGGTACTGATTTCATCCCCATCCTCTGGATGAGTAAACTGAGGCACCCAATGGGTAAAGACCTGGCTGTGTTTACACAACTAATGAGTGGAAGGGCCAGGATTTGAATCCAGGCTATCTCACACCAGAGCTGTAAGCTTCACCACAGTGCTATCTTGCCTCTAAGAACATGAGTGAGGTCCACCACAAGTTCCCTCTGCTGGAAGCCGATAACATGCGCCACTTGTAAATCGAGTATGTTGTAGCAGAATCTTCCAGAAGCTCAACAGAACAGAGCCAAGGAGGGATGCATTTGAGTCTGTCTTTACCTCATCCACTCAAACAAAGCCAAACTAAAATTCACTTTCAAAATACCAAAAACCCAAACTAAACCATGGTCAGTGCATTGATT